TGAAAAAAATGGACTTAGCAACTTTGCACTCTAAGCTAGCGATATAATACTTGAATATCAATATTTTTCTACAGGAAAACTTTTCTTCTCTTCAGAGGACTTCAATTATTAACACCCAATTGTTCATTTTACCATTTTCAAATACATTTTTATGGGTCCCACCATTGCATTTTTTGGGGGTTTTAGGGGAGCTATAAAGAATGGTTCAAATTAAAAAGTTGTTTAATTAACAATTAGGTATTATTATTGAAAGTCTCCTGAATCTAAACAAAGTTTTTTTAATTGATATATATGGAAATACATGTATGTAAAATATGTATATGGAAATATGAATAATATATGGAAAACTTTGCGGGCTTCGAGCGACCTCCAAATTGATTCAAAATGATTTCACAATAGAAAAATAACAGGGGTATAATTTTTTCGGTATAGAACAATCCAGAGGGTGAGAGCATGGAAATTTGCACTTTAGTTTTTTTTGAATCACCCTAATGTATATAAGTATTTAAGGGTTTGTATTTGGATGATAGTCGTAGAAAAAAATTATATTTTTTAAATGCTTTTAATTTTAACCTCAGGTTAAGTGGTTTATTTATCTTACGTAATAGCAATTTTCGTAGCTGCTGCGGGCTGTGTTTTGTTTGTTGTAGTTACACATGAGCGAAGGATTAAGAAAACTGTATTTAAGAATTTTCAGTTTTTATCCAAGAAACTAATAAGCCAAGAAGAGATTCACATGCGATTATATCAAAAGTTGAATGAAAGCTCGCTGCCGACCTACTTCATTGTAGATGATTTGTTGAAAGGCCATTTGCACTATTCAACTCTCTCATTCAACAGAAAGTTGAACGAAAAGTTGAACAATGCAAACACTGCTTTAGATGCTGAAAGCTAAGTTAAAATAACATTTGTTTTATATTGTGTTCGATATTATTGCTAGTTTTCCACGTCAGTCAAAATTTTAGATTCCTTGCTTGCTGGAAAATTTAGAGCGCTTCGAGCGACCTCTAAATATTTTTTGATTTCAAAATAAAAAATAGGGGTATACTTTTTTCGATATAGAACAATCATAGGGGGTGACAGCATTACAATTCCGCCTTTACTGTTTTTGGAACACCCTAATGCACATACATATAGTGGTACATAAATTAAAAGAATCACGATATTTTGACCGGTTAAACACTTCTATTTGTTTTTTAATGCCGGATTAGGCGAAAACACCCCCGTCTCAGCAATCGGACCACTTTCTTGTTGCAACCAAGATACGCACCCCCCTCTATGCAGAAAAAATTTGGGCCCAAAAGTGCAAGGAAAGCCTTACGCAGCTGCAGTCACAACAGACGGCCAACGCATTCGCTTCTCGACTCTCAGACCTGCTCTCAGAGAGTGATTTTCAACAAACCGACATATGCGAGCAGTGAAAACACATTTACCGTTCATTAGGTACCGCCGTCCAAGAAGGAGTCGATTTCAGCGAGCTTAAAAGAACAACTAGTACGATGAGGAGTGTCAAGATGCTGCAGATAAAAAAGGTGAATCCCACGCTGCGAGCCATGTGGAACAGTTATAGGGAGCTGGAGAGGGAAGCGGAACGTATTTGATAGAGGCCGAAATACGTGAGTGCAAAGAGCTTGAAATGCTGGCCGACTGGAAAAATTCCGGAAAACTTTACCAGAGAGTTAGGCCACTTACGGAAGGTTTCAAGACCAGGGCGGACTCATGTAAGAACATCAATGGCGTACGTGAACGTATTTAAATTATGGAGGGAACACTTTTCCACCCTACTGAATGGTAGCAGTACTGAAAGAGGTGGAGAAGACGACCCCGAGCTCCCAGTCGATGATGATGGAGTCGATGTTCCACCACCTGACTATGACAAGGTACGAATAGCAATAGCGCGCTTGAAAAACAACAAAGCTGCTGGAGCTGACAGTCTTCCAGCTGAGCGGCAAGGAGTTGATAAGGTGCATGCATCAACTCGTATGCAGAATATGGTCAGATGAACTGACATGGGTGACGACTGCAATTTAAGTGTGACTCCGCCATTCGTGCCAACTACAGCGGCCTTCTAAGAAAGAGGTTATAAGGTTTTTTCGTGCGTATTGTGTGAAAGACTGAAACCCCTTGAAAAGACCAAGTGCAGAGTACGTGGTTTCACTTGGAATTTCCAATTGGTGTCAATTGGCACAGAGGAGAAACGACTGGCGTGATTTGTTGAACTCAGCCAAAATCGCTTAGGCGGTTACAGCTCCAAACAAGAAGAAGAAGAAGAAGAAGGCTTCTGCAAAAGCACTGACGAGCAGACCTCATTTATTGCAAAATGCACTGTATCGTAGCTGTTTATTTTTCATTTGCGAAAATAAGAATTTTCGGGTTGGAAATTTAGCTTTCACTTGTTACTTTGTATTTCATAGTTTACGATAGTAATTATAAAATATTAATATTCATACAATTCAAGCTATTTCATTGTTGTGATGCCAATAGTAATTAGCATACAATGGGTTATAAGATAATCTGAGCTATCGTTTAACAACCAGTAAACAATGAGTAACATTTTAAGCCGCTTATTTGGCGTAGCAGAGAACGACCTTTGCTATATGTATAAAGAGCGAGAGCGCAGGTGATTGTTGAGAGATCAAGTGGGAATCTTCGTTCGAGATAAAGCGGTTGAGACTCTTAAAATGGCGCACAGTTTCGGCTTACTTTTTTGTTTTGCTTTGTTTATTCGTTGGTAGAGCTTTATTTTTGGTTACATGAAGGCAAGAAATTATACTAAAAAATATTAAGAATCTAAAGAATTAACAAAGCGAAATAATTGAAATAAGCATATATACATTCTTTAAGCGATAAGTAAAACAAGCAGCGGTACTTTTTGTACATATATTATTATTTTTTTGCTTCAGTTGCGTATATTCCACTCTGTCTGCTTTTGCTTACTTAAATACATATTTGTGACTGTAAATTTTCAATATGAACAAATGGCCTTTCAATGGTTCGTGAACCTATATGATAACTTTTTGCTTACAAAATATCGTAATACTCATACAATTAAAACTAACAAAATATATACGACCTCGAATAAATATACATAAACGGCATATAACGTACCCATGATTCAATAATACAAGGTTAGATAATTATTGACAGCTGCGGTTTGACACTCCCTTACAAAAGGTTGCATTTACGAAGGACAGAGAAAGGGCAAGAATGCAATCCCTTGTTGCGAAAATGGTAGTAGAAAAGTACGCAAAGTAGGCAATTAGTAGTGAAATTCCTTTTGTAAATTCTAATGTATTTGCAGGAAATCTGGCATTTTAAACGAAATGTTGAACGTAATATTGATATATCTACGTGATTTACTTAATTTATATGCTATTTAGCTGTATAAAAACTGCAAAATGACTCAAAATTAAAATAAGACTACTATGAGATCGATGTAAACATCCAAGGCTTATGTTTTCATCAGTTAAATATGCTTCATATTCATATACAAGTAAACATTGCACAAAAGCTTATACTTTTATTTCACACCAAAGCTACACTGTTTCCATGTAAATTTGCAAAGAAGCAACACGGTGCCACTGCTAAGGGAGCGGTGCGAGAGAGACAACTGTCAGTTTATCGAACCTTGTATTATTGAATCATGTAATGTACCTACATATGTATGTACATTAAAAAAAAAAAAAAAATTATGCTTCATAAGTGAGACCTTAAGTGACACACCTGCACAGCTTTCATCTCAACCAAAGAAACTTCCTCGCGAATCGACTGCGCCGGCGAAATTCGCGAACGATCCATTTCTTTGCGCCTCGATCGCTGCAGCGTTGATAAACCAGAAAGGTCGCTGGTCCGCTGGCAGTCGGCTGATTATGGCCACCAGCTCGCTATCATTTTTTGCATCGATGGGCAGGCGGGTAGGCGCGTCACCACCACCACCACCACCAACGCCAACTGCATTGCTGCCAAGAGCATTCGCATTGGCATTCGCAATTGTATTTATACTAGCATTTGCAGGCTCGCCGCTACCGCTACCAAAACGATTCGCAATCAAATCAGGCACTGGTGTGGCGTTCGGTGTGGCCAATGGCAGATAGTTGGATTCGGGAAACACGATTGGTATGTAACTGGCGGGTGGTTTCTGCGTCGCGCCAAAGGGCAATGCTGGTGGCTCATCTGCTGGCTTTCCAAAGCGATTGCCGATATCTGTGTTGCTGCCGTTGGCATTTACATTGTAGTTCACATTGTATTTGTCCTTCTGGTTAAGGCCAGGCGGTCGGATGCCGGCGAAGGAGGGACGCTGCGCTTGGGCCAGTTGTGACAGCAGCAGCAGCAGTGAGCAGATGGTGAAAGTGCAGAGTTGTTTAATACTGGAATTTTGCATTTCGCTTAGTAATTGGGGTTAATATTTTATTATGGAATTTATATTTTAGTGATGCACTAATTCGTAAATTTTTTGCTTTTAAATTTGTTAGCAATATTTCGCACTGTTTCACTTTCGCTTTGCAGTTCTTCTTCTGGCTTTCAAGCACCTCTTCGCGTTTTCACTTGTTTTGCTCTGATCTCTCTGGTGCAACTGTCGTACTCTGACTTAGCATCCATTGGTTTTATACTCGCTTCATTGTCCATATCTACAGCTGCGCGCAGGCCTGTGTAGTTATCGCCAAATCGCTTGCCTCACTCTTCAGATCAGCGCTTGGTTGAGTCATCGCTGTTGCTCGTCACGACTCTCTCGCGTTCTCGTGTTGTCGACAACAGCATCTCATCATTGACGCACGAAATTCTTAGTTATCTCGTGCATACCATTTCTCTTGCACCTGTCCCGCCAAGCGTGCCGCAACCTTGGCAACGCATATAAGTCGTAAGCTGCTGGCCTTGCTCAGTGTAGAGGCGAATTTCGGCGCTTTGGGCTTACAAGTAACTACATATGTACATTTGTACTGGTTATGTGATGTGTTATTTAAGCGGGTTAAACTTGTTTGAAAATGAAATTGCCTTCAATTGCTTTAACATTGACTTGGTATCAGTAAAGTTGCTCATCTATTCCTCTGGATGTACATATGTATATGCGAATATACGAAAATCCTTACAAACATACTTACGTACATAGTTATGTTTAGTATTAGCCTGAGTTCGCTGATTTATTAATTGCTAGTTTCGTTGCAATTTCATTCATCTCGATGTGTTGCTCTCAAATAAATTATAATGCAAATGATTTTGTTTGACATGTTGACCAGCAGTTATTGAACTGAATGTAAACAAACTGGGCTAACAGCTTGATTAAACGGTGCCATATCTCGGATAAGCTCTCAAATTAGCTAGTCAGTGTGTTGCTAATCCTCGCATCAGATCGGAAGAATACTGATAATTTTTATAATCACAACTTAAGTGACATTTTTGCCACTGCCCGGTTCAACCCAACATAAAATAATAATAATAATTCTAATAGCGGTCGCTTCTTGACAGTGTATTTCTGCCATGAAAAGTAGCTTGTATATTTTCTAAAGTTTGTGCAACCTATGTCATTTCGCACTCTTAATTGTTGATAAGTTATCGATTGTTCACTAGGAGTGCCAGTTACTGTTAGTTTTTAGAAACTACAATATCAGTATTGTACTATACTTACGACGACCATCCGTCCTGGTTTTTGCAAGACCGTGCTGTTAAAACAACTTTTCGTAGAAATGGTATAGAATTCTTGAAACTCAATATTTTTCCATCGGAAAACTATGGTTATCTTCAGGAGACTTTCAGTAATAATACCCAATTGTTTATTTAAACATTTTTTAATACTAACGATTTTTTATTGGTCCCCCCATTGAAGTTTTCGGGGCTTTTGTGGGTTTTCGGTGGACATATAAACTATAGTTGCGACGAAAAAATGGTTAAATAAACAATTGAGTATTATTATTGGGAATCTGCTGCAGAGAAACAGAGTTTTCCGGTAGAAAAATATTGATTTTTCAGAATTCTATACCATTTCTACGGAAAGTTGTTTTTTCCCTATACAAAATACATGGAAAACTTTGGGCGCTTTGAGCGACCTCTAAATATTTCTTGATTTTAAAATAAAAAAAATAGGTTTATATATGGACGCTTGCAGCTTCTGCGTTACCCCTTTCCAGCTTAGGGCTGCTGGCGAACAGTGCGCAAGAAGTGCCACCTCCTAATCCAGGGTATAACGCGACACCGTGCCCATTGCACGGTTTGCAGCCAGGTGGGTAAGCCGGCTGTATTTTAACGGCGCCTTCTCGACACCTGGCCGTCTCGAGGAGTGACGGTGGCTTTACTGCGGAAAGGCGCAATGTCACGGCCTGGCAAGTCAGACATGTGGTCATACGAACAAGATGAAGACAACTAAAGAGGAACAGCAAAAACAAGGAATCAAAAAGCAACAATAAGCAAACAACTCCAGCAACAGAAAAAACAAGGAAAGGTACGTGAAAATATGAAAGAAGATTGTGGGTATGGACCACGAGTGAAAATGCGAAACACAGAAGGAGGTACTACAGCGAGTCTTCGCGCGGGCGGATATGGTTTGCAACTCTGTCCGGTTCGACGACCTCACGCGACTTTATGAAAAGGAGATAGAACGACACCAGGACGGAAGAGCAAAACTGCCAAAGGGAAACCCGGTTCGCTGACCGACTCCAGGGAGTTGGGTCTCAGCGGCTCCGGGGTGAGGCCCTATGTAAAGTATCTTCAGCAAAGCAAAACTCCCGAGATAGCTAAGGAGCTGGCTCTCGCTAGATCGGCTCCACAATGGTCGAGCAAGAGACACCTTGAGCGCGATGGCGGAACGACCTCACCCGCGGATGAGCGGGCATCAGCAGCAGGCCAGAGTCTGGCCGCCAGACAGGTTGGCTCTCTCGTACAGACTGCAACCGCCGATGGGCAGAAGTGCGGACACATCGGCGGGAGCCGTGAACCAGCGCCCGCTGAGAAGCGGAGGGACGAACAGCACCATGGTACGAGTGGTAGGCACGATAGGGGCACTGGCGAGATCGCACCCGTTTATAAGCGGTAGAGCGAGCATTTAACACCGAATTCTCCGGCCCAAAGAAGCAGCGGGAGTATACACCCGCTCCGACATCGGGACCCGGGTGTAGGCATCGCGAGCCAGAAGCTTCGCGGGGTGGAAAAGGGCAGACGCCTACCTACTCTAATCCGGTAAGGAGCATCTGGGTTGCGCTGCTGCCCAGAGACTACTCTACGGAGGTGCTGAGTTCGGATGAGCTGTCTACCCTACAGGACGCCATAATGGACAAGGTGTTAAAAGGGTGGACACATCCGCTTGCTTTCTGCGGGGTGTACTTACATCCAGGAAAGCTGTGAAACGGGGAGATGATACCCATGCACAATATAACCATTTTCCTGCCGAGAAGTGCTACAAATTTTCAAGGGCGCAAAACGGGGATCTCAATACCCCAGCGTGGCGCGTCATCTCGAGCATCATAGAGAACACTGCCCTGCGCCTGAAGGTGGGCATCGATGAGGACTCATTCAGTAATGTCCGAAGGGCGAGATACAAGCTGAACTACAGGTTCGGTTTTGCTACCATGTGGCCCTGGCGTTTGAAGGCTGCTGAAGAGAAGGAAGGAGGCGAGGTAGTTATGCAGGTGGATGAAAATCCGCCTAGTCAAGCAGCCTCATAGGCAGCCACATCAACCACATCAGATGAGCCAGCCCAACTTTCCGACGAATGAGGCACCAATGAGCGAGATACAGCAGCTCTTATACAGAAGCAAGTCCCCTCTACGCAGGAGCTGCTCGCGGGTATGGACCAGCGAAGGCTTGAGTTCGACAGGAGAAGCGATAGCGACCTAAGGCTCTTGGACCTGGATGAGCAATTATGAGGCACCAACCACCCTTGACAGTAGCCCACATCAACCTGCACCACGCCGTTGCCGCCTCGCTGGAGAGGGCAACCGCCTTGATACTAGCACACTTCTCAAAGAACTCTAATATGATGGCGGAGCTGGAGGTCCAGCCCAGCGATGTTACAGCAGGTCACTGAGAGTGTAATACCGCATCTTGTGAACATAAGCTGTCTTGCGGAAGCGTATGTCCCACAGCTTAACCTCTTTTGCACAAAAAGCAATGGAGAAGATAATAGACAACCGCATTAGATCTACCATTCTGAGGAATACACCCCTGCACACTAGAGAGGACGAACGTGCAGCCAGCGATCTGCAATTGGGTGGATGCGCTCCTGCGTACATGGATTTCTGAAACCAGACAGCGTGGTACAACTTCAGACAACAAAGGGCTGCCCACAGGGAGGGGTATTATCACCCCTTCTGTGGAAATTAGTGGTGGATGAACCTCCCTCAACTTCTCTCCGACAAGGCTACGTGGATGATATAGTGATAATTACCAGGAGGAAGTTTGTGAGCACCCTCTGTGACATTACTCAAANCCATTCTGAGGAATACACCCCTGCACACTAGAGAGGACGAACGTGCAGCCAGCGATCTGCAATTGGGTGGATGCGCTCCTGCGTACATGGATTTCTGAAACCAGACAGCGTGGTACAACTTCAGACAACAAAGGGCTGCCCACAGGGAGGGGTATTATCACCCCTTCTGTGGAAATTAGTGGTGGATGAACCTCCCTCAACTTCTCTCCGACAAGGCTACGTGGATGATATAGTGATAATTACCAGGAGAGGCTTACGATTGACGAATTGATGGTGCGACAAGTTAGGTCTATCATGAATCCTGCCAAAACCACCATGATTGCTTTTACTAGCAAAAGAGCCCTTCCGGCCATGAGGGACATAACCTTGGAGGGGGTCGTGGTCAGCGTCGCCAGCGAAGTGAAGTATCTGGGACTAATCCTAGACACCAAACTTCAATGGAAGAAGCATGTGGACGCGATCACCTCCAAGGTCACGAAAGCTTGAATGGTGTGGAGGCGTCTGGCTGGAAAATCCTGGGATTGTAGGCAGAAATACGCTCGAAGTTTACTGATGCCTGCCGAGGGGTGTCCGCCGGTTAGAACAAATATTTTTTATAATACTCAAATCCTGGTCCTACGATAGTACACACTACTAACCTCGGTTGCAGCAACCGCCTTTGGCCAATATGGCTTTGAAAAATGTTTTCTATACCAGAATGTTCGAAATTTTACAATTTTCTTGTATATTTTCAGAATATTTATTGAATGTGAATGCCCGGTGCAATTGGGAAATTCGAAGTCGAGTATTGAGATTTAAAGCCAATCAAATACTCTGAAACCATAAAAGCGGAAGTAAATAGAGAATCCCTATCTTGTTTTACCAGTGACTAAACCTATCATCTCTTATCTTTTTGTTTTTAAATTTCTGACGAAGACTATGGCGGCTTGCCGATTAACAAAGTCTTCTGGAAAATCTTCTTCTCGCGTGTCGGAATTCCCAAGATTTCCGTTGCTTATACACACTTACATACATACATAAATGCATATATCCACACCAAAGACGATCTCACTTGGTCAGACCCAGTGTCTGCTAATAACTAAACAACAAAAATCTACCTAAAATACAAAGTCCAGTCTCTAGCAGTCGTCATAAGCAAAAGAGATATTAAGATGCGAAACCCGAAAATATTTCACTCACTCGCT